CCACCTGTAGGCCCGCTAACCCTGGAATCCACCCGACACAAACTGCAGCACCAGACAAACAATTAGCGACCAGAGGCTGCCGCGCAAGAAAGTGGAATGACCTTAGCAGCCAAAAAAACACTGATTCTCCTGCTGTTCGGGCACTGTACACAGATACCTTCTGTGTTGCCAACCACGAGACTTTCTTGGTCAGCTAAACGGGAGATATTCTTCAGATTGATTAGTGTAGGCCGTAGAGACAACACGTGCGACGTGCTGGTGGCAGGAACAGATCGCAGCACACGTGCAGAAACACTGGCTGTTAGATACACCAGCTAACAGGGCGAGGCAGACAGGACTCGAACACGAGGACCGTTGTAATGTGTCCTCTTTCCTGCGCTGCGAGCTGTTTTTGTGGACCATAAAAAAGGGGACAACTGAGCGGTTACTTATCGGAGCTCTCCTCCGAGGTTTAATCTCGCGCGTCGCGCTCTTCAGGCGAGCTCTCTCAGAGCCTGGTCATGATCGGGAATAGCTGCTTATCGTGTGTGTTGCGACATTTCAGCAGTACACGCCAACTTACTAAACGAACAGCCCAGCTCAAGTTGCCATCGCAAATTATCACTAACGTGCACCAATTCAGAATTTGCTACAATATTACATTGTGGGTCAACCAGTCAGAATTAGTCCTGAATTAAGTTGATCTGATTAGGACTGAAACGATTCAGTGTACCATCTAGTCCACTCGGCATAGGACATCTAATCAGCTAAGCACATTTGGGCTTTTTTGCTAAGCCAACGTTCGACACCCGCGTGGGTGACGCTTTTCTCTCAACTGTGACATATTTTCTGCTGCTTTTAGCAGTCTCTTTATTATCAATAGCACTGCAACTATTCATCAGTCCCGGCAGCCATAAACGAAAAATTTCCCTGGCGACACTTTGGATTCTTGAGTTTTTTGATAAAAAAGATGAATTAAGAAATACATCTTAATAAAGTAATGAAAATAGGCATTCCATTGTTAGCAGCACTACAGTAGATATGGTCACAACAACCATAACATATCCTATGCACAGTGGGACATCACAAAAGCAAGCAGCTTGAATTTGACAAAAACAGCCAAATGAAACATCCACTTGTTAGCTTTTTTACGGGCCTTCAACTACAGCAAACTCCAGCTACTGTTAAAAGCCAAGAATGAACTATCATGAACCCTCAGTGTGTAACGGATGTTTCTTAAGGCAGCACCACATTGCTTTTTCCGCACTGGTGTGAACGGGCGAGATGGATGGTAAGCATGTTGACAGATACGCTTGGACAGTCATATGCTCGTGTTTTCTCGACCTTGTGATGCCTACTGCGTCACGGGTGTGTTTGTTTGTGTGCTGGTTTCCAGTAGCGTTGGTGTTTCTGCATTTGTTGTTTCTCCTTTTCATAAGTCTTCTTGGAAATTAAGTTAAAATTGCAGATTCATTAAAACGTACACAGTGGTAGCTTCATGTGCGATCATGAGCTTGAGGTTATTATTGTTTTCATCTGACTCCGGTTGCTGTTTGCAGTCCCTCGCCCTTAGTCCTAAAAACGCCACGAATGAATTCCCAACTTGTGGGACGTACTGGTGGTTTATTCATGTGACCCTTAAACTTGAACTGTAGAACACACAACATGGTGTGTGTTGTGGTTTCCATGAGGTCCTCAAGCCAATAAAAATAAAAAGAAGTGTGTGTGCGTGCGTGTTTAGCCGTGTGATAGATTCATGGCCTGTCCAGGGTGTACAGTACCCCGCCTCTTGCCCAGTGCATGCTGGGAGAGGCTCCAGCTCCCTGTGACCCTCAACAAGATAAGTAGTTAAGAAGTGGAAGGATATGTGTATTTATTGTCCCATACCAATGAAACTAAAGCAATGACCCAGGATTGATAATGTTATCACTAAATTGTGATACTTTAATTGTTGCAGTTGGACGATGGCAGCAGAGATGCCTTTGAGCAAGGCTCTTAACCCCCTGAACACTCGACATTTACAAGCAGAGGCAAGTCAGGGCTGAAAAAGAGCCATGTATGTGTGCAATAATAGCTCAAATAAAGGCTCAAAGAGAAGCTAGACATACTGAAGATTTTTCTGCGTCATAGGGAGAATTGGAACATGAGCATATACATTATCTACAGGTCAGCAGGTCCAGAGGGGAGGAGGAGGAAAGCCCTGAACACACAAACACACACGCACCCTCTCTCTGTCCCTGCCGTCTCAAATGAAGCAATAAATGTGTGTGCGTTGTCAGTGCCATGATAACTCACGGCCACTGAGCTGATGCGCACATGTGCTCATCTCTGAGTGTGTCATCTACTCACATGTTCGTTTGTATGTGGATCGATAAACCTCCGTGTGTCGATCTGCACATGTGCTCTGTGTGTGTCTGTGTAAGAGCGTATACTGTATTGGAGTGTGTGTGCCTGTGCTAGAGGCAGGGTCCTGGCCTGTTTCTGTCCAGGTGTGTGTTTTCGGCCTGAAGGGAGACAGAGCAGATGGTTGCTTTCGAGTGTGTGTGGCTGTGACTGACTGGTTGTCGGTAACATCTCCCTTGCCAGAGATCTGTACCTAGCAGAACATGAGCTGGAGAGATGCACTACTGCATGTACGTGTAAATTAAAAAAAGTTATGGTGTAAAGTCTGAGCACTCGTTAGATTGGAACTAAATTAATTGGCTACTAAAATTGGTTGCACCATGATTACTTGGGGCATAACCTAACTAGATTGTACATGAAGTACTAAGCTAAGGCCATCGTCATGGTTACTATGCACATAAGCTTTCCGGCTAGCATTATAGCACATCGTAGTAAACTCGATCAACATTGAAATGTCCTAACAGTAGATTAGGTCTCTATACTGGGTCACTGTGTTACCAAATGGCATGCAGTTCATGAAAAATAATGCTGTGTGGCAAAAAATGCTGCTAAAAGCTGTTTGACCCTTAATAAGTATAATTATTTGACAATGTATGATTTACAGCTACCCTAGGGGCATGTGTAACTATACTACTACAGTTGTTACTTATACTTACGTTGGACCTTATCTCTGTGGTGGTGGTGTGGTGTTTTGGTAATGCATAAATCACAACTTAGTAATAATTCATGGTATACCTATGCTATGTTTGGACTTACACACAGCTGGTTTAACAGGCTGCTGGGTTGGGACCCAAAGTAGGGACTGGACAAAGGGCTGCGCAGTCAATCAGACATGCATGTTAACTTTTGTAGTGAGCAATTAGCGAGAGGCCGCATGTGGAGGGGGGGCGTTATATCAGACAAACTACTCAGAAAGAAAAGTGTAGAGTCTCTGCCATACTGTACAAGCAAAGTACTAGTTTTAATTCAGATGTTCTCTTTATTGTAAAACTAAGATTATTCTATCATTGTTCAGAAGTGGTTTAGTTTACATTAGGTCATTCTGGTAAGAGGAGAGTGTGGCTCATATAACCAGTGTGTGTGTGTGTGTGTGTGTGTGTGTGTCCAATGGGTCATGTGTCCACTGACCTGACATCAGTGCCCCCAAGGATACCCAAATGACTGAATGATGACTGTTTACCAGATGGCCATCGGTTTTAAATGGTAAATATCCAGTACTGTCTTTATCCGATGCAGTAACTAACTGTAGAGGTAACACCTACAGCCTTCCAAATGCTAAACTGCATAGCGCAGGGTGAGTAGTTCAGGGGGCTTGGCCAAAATTGGAGCATCCTCTGAAACATTTATTAGCAACATTGTAAGCCTGTGCACATCAATTTTGTTTTTTTCTTGCAAAAGACAGTAAAATGTTACTGATTACAAAGAGCTATAAGAAAAAACGTTTGATTATTTTTACACTGTTAATTACAAGGTTTCTTTGACCTGATTGACTTAATCAGCTTTAATATTTAAGGTATGTATTTTTCATACAAGACACACACACACACATACACTATTATATATTAGTATATTACCATACAGTGATAGACTGACAAAGCACTATTTGATAGCAGTTGTCATGTTTGGCATCTACTATCTACGTACTTATTAATATAGCCCATAAAATGTCCCTCCAGTTTGACTCATATATGATTATCAGGACTAGGACAGATGAACATTTATTTATATTTTGTAGTTTTATGTTTTCTTTCCACATTATTGCAAATTTAAATGGATTAATAACAAGATTTAATTGACTGAATAAAAAAAAAAGGATTATTCTATTTTAGTGCATGTAACTCATCCAGCAGGAAAATGAATTAATCGTCTGTATTAATATTGAATCAGCTGATTGAATGTTGAATCTGCTGTCACCCAGTTTAATACGGCTGCAGGACAGTAACTTTGATGTGATGACTGGAGGGGTTAGGACATAGTGTGATCTTAGGAAGGTGTAATGGGAGGCGGAGGGACAAAGCAGCCTGTGTGATCAGATGAGCCGACACATCGGCTGATGCTTGCGCCTGTGGCACAGTTGGTGGATTAAACCAAAGCTTTTTGACTGTGTGGAGTGTATCAGCCTTACATATCTCTCGCTTACTGTGTATGTGTGTACATGTCACTGAGGTGGCAGTAAAAGGGAGTTTTAAGTATCTTTGATGAGTGATTTTTGCATTTTGTACCTTGGAAATGACATTGCCATATGATGTGATACTACAAGAAATGCGTCAATAACATGGAACATACTGGCTAGTAATATGTTTATTTAACCTGACGTAATGTATACATTTGGGGCAGTTGCTTAGTGTGCATTGAGGCTTGTCTTACTTTTATAAATTAATTTTAATTTAGTCTAGAGCTCATTACAAGTGAACAGATGAAACTGTATTTTTTCAGACAAAATATCCAATATCCTGGTAGAAAGTGTATTCCTTTGTACCTTAAGTGCAGTATATTTTTGTTCCACTGATGACTAAGTCCTCGTCTCTTTCTCTTTTTCTCTCTTCCTCTTTAGGTGATCCCATCATCCTTGGCCTTGTGGATTAACTTGCTGCCTTTATCTAAAGGGATGTGCTATTGATTACTGCTTTCTAACAAAGCCCACTGATTACAGTGAGGGTGTTGGAAAGGCCTTGATCACAGCTATGTCAAAACTGCTTCAGGATATCTCAAGTCACAAAGGACAGTAGACCGACGGGAGTTTGTGTTTTCAGCTGTTACATTCAGTATTTCATATTTTTTTGGGACATCCATCTTAATTTTTTTTGCTTATTGATCCGAGTTTTCGCGTAATTTTGAGCATGCGTTTTTGATTCACTTGATTTATTCATTTGAACCGGACACTCTTTCGTTCCTACAGTACACACCATATTCTCTTACCATGTACGGTAGCTCCCGTTCCGTCTCAAAGCTGGATGTCGTTGGATCCAATGGTAACGGGTCTGTGTCTGGGAGTCCTGGTCGCTCCCCACGGCTCCCTCGCTCCCCACGCCTTGGACACCGGCGAAACAGCAGCAGCAGCTCCGCCGGCGGACTTACCGGCTCCGGTAAAACCCTGTCCATGGAGAATATTCAGTCTCTGAATGCTGCCTACGCTACGGGCGGCCCTATGTACTTCACTGACACAGTTGAAGACCCAGTCGGCATTGGGAGTCTGGGCAGTGGGCTGAACCCCTCGCTGCCCAAAAGCACCATGACTCTGGGCAGGGCTGGGGCCAGGGTCCCTTATGGGATCAGGGCGGCCATCATGGGGAGCAGTCCTAATATAAACACTGGAGGTGGAGGGGTCATGCCCAGTGATGCAATAGCATTTGGGGGGGAGATGCAAAACCAGCCTTCACAGGCGGCTACAGTGCCCCACTCCATGAGACAGGTGAGGCATCGCAGTGTTTTCTTCTTTTATTGCTGCACACACAAAGTCAGCATTTTGTCAACTAAACAATGAAGTTTGTGCCAACAACGTTTGGAAATTGGTCATTTTTGTTTCTCTGTGTAGAGTCTATCTACTTTTTGTCTTCAAATCTTTATTCCTTAAATGTTTGACTAATGCTTCAAGAACAAAAATTTAAAAAGCTGCTGTGTTTGAGACACAAAATAACTTGGGGGTTTTGTTTCTGGAAGTTACCCAGATGAAAGGAATTATTCAACATTTTTGGAAATATACACTTAAACACTTTCTTGCAGGAAGTTAGATAAGAAGATCAATACCATACTCATATCTGTTCATTCAATATGAAGTTTGTATGAGTTGTACATGTTAAAAACCAAAGTAATGTATAAAATATGTGGTTCCAGTTATATATAGGGGTTTATGTGCTGAATTAACTGGAGAAGTAACTTCCTTGTGTCTCTGCTGGTTGCTTGGCAACCTCATGAGGACGACAAGACTCTAGGAGGTCACTGCTTCTGGTCAAGAAATCCAGCTCATAACAAAACTGCAACTTTTTACTCTTCTGTTTTTTGTTTTACCTTTAAACAGAGCCGGGCGACTTTTTCCAGTATTTATGCTAAGCTAAGCTAACTATCTCCTGGTTTCAGCTTCACATCAAACAAGCAGATACATCACAGTTTGTTTTCTGTGCACAAAAAAACATGAATCCTCAGCAATATTGCATTGTTATCCTTGAAGAAAATTGCTCTAAAGTAGCAGACAAAACAGTTCAGATGAAGTTTAGAACAAACAGACGAGGAATGTGTGGATGAAATTGATTTAGGGTGTCGATAATATTTGTTTCACCTGAAAGTGAAAGAGTCTGAACATAAAAAGATAAAAGATAAAAATCTATTGCACTTAGAAAACGAAGTGTTTTGTCGTAGATGAATTATCCTCCTGTTCGATGGTGGAAGGGACGTGGGTGGTTCTAGGCATTTAAGCTAAATTCAGACAACTGTTTAAAGGTTAATATTTTCATCTTAAATCATGCTTCAACCAAATAAAATAAAGGCTGTGTGGGTATTCATACAGTATGTTTAAATAGACTAAGGTCTGCCCTTCTACCACCTCTGCAACATTAGTCATAACCTGAAAGCTCATCCCCCCCAAGGTGTATCTCTCCTTCCTCTCCTATACCTCCCTCCTCTGACTTTCTTCATCTCTCTTCAACTCTCTAAAGCTTTCTTGTGCTGTATGTTACGTTTATTGTGAGGATAAATGTTTAACCTATGTTCACTTGCAGAGCTGTAAGACGTTCTGTCAAACATCAGCTGAATACCTAAACGTTTTTTAAAACCAAAACAGGATGTGTTTGTTGTTTAAAAATGCATCAAAGATGTTTTAAATTCTTTAATACACTGCTGTCCTGATGTCACCATGAATTAAACATTTTTATGTGGAGCGTTATCTCATTAAAGTTAAGTGTGTACTATATGAAGGAAATGTGTATACAAATGCCCAACTTATCTTGAAAAAGTGTTCTGTTGGTATAAATCCTATCCTGAATAGTCCGAGTATAAGTTCAAGAGATTCAACAACCATTTCCTGAAACAACACCACTGTGGTTAATGTTTGGTTAGGTTAGGCACGAAAAGCATCTTGGTTAGTGTCACAGATACTCTATAGATTATCTGTTCAACAGCTACAGACAATGCCAGAATATGTATATGTATATAAAGTAAAACAACGTTACAAATACTATCTAACTATCCAAATATAGTTCTACTGATTTCTTGTTTTTGTGTATGGTAGATTTTATTGCTCCAACAAAGGCTTCACTTCACTTCACTCTCAGTCATACTGTCCTGGGGTCTGCTATCACCATCTCTTAGTAGTGACAGCTGCAAATATGTAAAATGTTAATGTATGATGTGGACAAAATTGATGATCTTGCTGTTGTCAAACATTTTAAACTCACTGTGTGTGTGTTACCAGGTGAGAGACGGTGCAATGTCAGACCTACAGACACAGTTAAGAGAAGTGCTGAGAGAGAACGAACTACTACGCAGAGAAGTAAGCAATCCATTTGTTTTTACCATTGATGGTATCTTATTTATTTTGTGTTCTGCCTTTTTCAATTTAAAATAAAGATTATATCTAGAAGGACAAACTATAAACCAGTAACTAAGTAACATGCGGCAAGTCATCAAAAAGAAACATTTATTAAAACAAAGTCGCAATGTTTGATGTTCATTTCTTTTAGTTGGAGGCTAAAGAGTCCAAGTTGAGCTCCTCCATGAACTCCATTAAGACGTTTTGGAGTCCGGAGCTGAAGAAAGAAAGGGCGCTGAGGAAGGACGAAGTCACGAAGATGGCCGTGTGGAAGGAGCAGTACCGAGTGGTCCAAGAGGAAACACAGGTAGGAAAAAAAGTGTGTTCGACTCTGTGTGAACCAAAACAGTAAAATTCAAGATCAATGCATCAACAACAATATCTCGACCAGGGTTGAGTTAATTTTAATCATCATTACAGCTAACCCAGGTAGAAAATGTCCTTTAGCCCGACCTTTAGTTTTTGCTTTGGATAAGGTCCATCCTTTACTAGCTGTGATATAGTTGTTGTACTTAGTTTTGTCGAATGTATGAATGTATGAACCGGCACAAAGGGGAGCATACCCTGATGGATGTGCCGACTGTTCTGGTGGATTTGTCTCGCTGCTGTGAAAACCTTGAAGACGGGTAAGCAGATGAAGCGCGCTGCCTGGATAGGGGGACTCCCAGCTGTCTGTTGGTTGAGAAGCCATCTGGATGAGACTGAGACGCAGCTAGTCTGGCGGGAGGCCGGGATATTATACAAGAGATGACTTGCAGTCACTTGCTGCCACACAGTGACTCATTTCACACGCTGTCATCTTGCAGAAAGGGCTCAGTCCTCGCCACATTTACTCTCAATTTAAGAAAATAGTCACATTTACATTTCGGTCATTAGCCGGCACTCTTATTTCTGCATATGTGTGTGTGTTTGTGGTCTTAAGGTTGTGAAATTGCATCACCAGATATTAAATCACTCTAAGAAAATTTACAACCAGTTTGGTGTGTGTGTGTATGTGAACATGTGCAGCATGCCTGTGTGTGAGTGCCTCCATAAATCTAAATGCGAGTCTTATTCATGCCATGTGCGAGAGAACAAAGGAACAGATCATAAATCTATCATATATTTGACCTCCTGCCACCACTAGAAAAATCCTCCGTTGCCTTCACACTTAGACACACGCTCCTCTTTGGGAATGTGCTGTTATAGCGAGTGAATACACATGTTGAGACATGTAAGAGTATTTTCTGATTTTCTAATGTGGGGAAATGTTGATACACTCTCTCTTTCTTGACCTCTTTCACTTTGATTCCCTTTCTTTCCTCCAGACAAATCACACCCTTTTAACCAAAGGCATCCTTTTCATTTCCTGCTCTCATTATCCCGTCACTTTCCCTCTCTTCACTTCTGTTTTTTTTTCTCCGTCCCCTCGTTGCTTTTTTCCTTCTTCTTTCTCATTCCCCTTCTCTCCTTCTATTTCTGTCAGCACATGGTGAGTCAGCTCTCGCTTTCCTCCCTCCCTCCTACCTTCCCTCCTCTCCCTCCCTGTCTTTGCCATCATCTTTGTGTTAGAAATTGAATTAAGTTACATCCCAGCACAGGCGCACACACATGAACGCTGTGTCACGCCCCTGCTGAGGAATGCACATCTCATCTCCACCCTCCGTCCTTCCTCCCTCCCGCCCTTCTTTCCTCCACACTTCCTCACTTATTCACCTCCTCCTTCGTGCTCGGCCCACTATCTTCACCTCTCTTCCGTCCGCCTCTGTCTCTTATCTCTTCCTCTCCTCCTGTCTGCACTCCCTCTGCATGAATCCTTTCCTCTCATATTCATACAATGTGTCACCATTGACTCAAAACCAGAATAACAGACATTTCACGTCTCATGTTTGTACTTGTTAGGCACAGATCTTTGTAAACGACATTCAAAATAGTTGACAATGTTGTCATACTTAAAAAAGTCTTGTTTTCTCTTGCATATTTTCATGAAAATATGTGTATATTTTGTTTGATGTGATTATTCCATGGGAAATGAATCAACAAGAATTACAACAATTTTGTGCTTATTCATTTAAGTGATTTATTAAACAAATGTAAAGTGGATTTATCAGAGATTATTTTGTTGAAAAAGCTGCTTGAAAATGATGCTAAGAGAGCAATAAGAATGAAGCAGAACAAGTTGTGGACAAGAAAACCAAAACAATCAGCTGAAAGATGCTAAAAGGCTCCATAGAACTGGTGTTCTTAGGTTGAGCTGAGACATTTTGTGGATTGGCAGCTCGTACAGACAGTGAGAGCACTGAATACAAACAGCACGGTGTTATGTGACATCAGGAAAGCAAATTCTGCAAGTTCATGTCAGCCAACCTGGTGGGTGTGTGAGGCTTTTTACTAAAATATACCAAACCTTTTTTCAGGATGGAGTGCTTGCTCACAGCTGTTTGGGAGAAAGATTGTATTTTGTTTTACATTATTACTTTCTGTCTGCAGAAAAGTGAATTAAAAACAACAACATTTTTCATTTCTCACTCGGATTAGATGGGAGGCTTTTTTTTTTTATTGCTTCCCCACCGAGCTTTAAAATATTATTCTCTCACTCTATACTGCTAGTTGCTTTCTCTTCTTTGGCTTCCCACATGCAGCAATTTCCTCTTACCACACCTTCCACTCATTGTCACCACGCACTCCATCTCCATCTCCATCTCCTTCTCACTGTTCTCTCTGTCTCACCATTTCACTCCCACTTTGGACACCCTCTCTTTCACAGGCCCCTGTCCTTCCCTTCCCTCTCCTCGCTCTCCATCTGGGCCTGTGGAGCAGTTACGCCGCAGAACTCAATTCAGTAGAGCGGACACACCCTGGTCTAATAAAATCTATTGATCTGAACACGGATGTATGCTGCTGTATTTCGCCATATTGTGGTCGGTGTTGTCTGTCTCCTTTTGTCCCTTTTAGTGCACCGCCTTGCTTTGGTTTTTGTTGTATGTGAGTGTGTGTGTGTGCCTGAGTGAGTGAGTGAGGGAGTTCACCCAATTGGTTCCACCTCTTTGATCACAGCAGGTAAGTACAAAGCAGAAAGAAAGAAAAGCACCGAAAAAAAAAGAAAAAGATGAGGGAATGATTGGAATGCTAAAGAAAAGCTTGACTTTCTTTTTTTTGTCCTCCTTTCCTCGTTAGTTTATTTTTTTTCTTACATAAAACGCGCAAACCTTTTGTCTCTTTCTGTCTCTATTTTTCTCTTTTACCCTCCACAATCTTAACAGCTGCCAGTTTGCAATGAATAAACATGCACTCTCAAGCAGAAGGCAAGCAGCATTCGCAATTGTAGCCATGACATCCAGGGTTCAACTCAGCATCACTGTTTCCATTCTGTTTCCATACTCTCTTGAAAACAATTCCACGTACCTAAAAGGGATTTTAATGCTACAATGCTACAATGACACATTGCTAATTATTTATTATTTTAAACTAATTATCCCAATAAGGTGTAATGTGATGTACATATTGAGCTAAACACCTTAATTAATGCGTTTTTCCTAAATTAATTTAACTTCTTCTTGCTCTCTGTTCTACGTGGTTTTGTCACAGCGCTGAATCATACAAGCTGAACAATAACCACTCTGTCTATCTGTTTCTGGGGCTGCTAGATCCAATCTATCATCTACTGTACTCCAGGCGAGCCACATGACGTCAGCACCGTGTGTGTTTGTGAGAGAGAGAAAGAGAGAGACGATGTATATGTTGGAGAAAGGGGGCTGTATGGTGGCTAGGTTGTGTCTCATACATGTTTGTGGTGTGTTTGAGACTGGACATGAGTGTGTGTTTGGGAACATTTACTGTAGTTTTGCATGTGTTTGACTGATCATTTATTTTCTTAGAGTAAGCAGTTGCCAGCTGTGTTTGTGTGCGATAGAGAGAAAGCCACAGAGGGTGTACTGTACCAGGAGGCAATCTTTGTCCTTTGTTGGCAGGCTTACGTGTGTGTCAGGACAATTGAGCTTTTTGTATACACGAATGTGTGTGTGTGTCTGCGGAGGTGCAAATTGCTCAGTTGCCTGCATGTTTATAATGATGTATTTGTATTTGCATGTGTGTGTGTTAGTGTGTTAATA